TGTTCCAAACCATGTCGTTCCGACGAGTGGCCGCAAAACCATCGCATATCTTCGGGGCTACTTACTACCTAAGGCCTACTGGACCGAAATGGCCCGCTCGACCAAGCAAAACGGAAAAAAAAAACAAAAACGAAATGGCCCGTGCCGGCTCATTTTRRAWTGGCGCGCAGCAAAAATCCGGGTCGTTTTTTTTTTTTTTTTTTTTTTTTTTTTAAATGAAAYTTTTTTCAGTTCATTATAACAACAAGGAGAGGTCAGGGACCTCACAATTCAATCCGGGTTATTTGACAGCATCAGCCAGCTTAGCTTACAGGCAATTGCCTGTGGGACTCATCACTATCCAGTCCCGGTTCCCTATTGCAGATCTGTACCAGTACCAGGCACCTACAGTTCTATGTACAGAAACTAGTTGAGAGCAATATCTGTACCAGTCCCGGTTCCCTATTGCAGATCTGTACCAGTACCACTGTTAATTCGCCCTTGCTTTTGACGTTGAATGGCGCACTGCTACCAGCACATCTACCTAAACTTCTATTGTGGCCTCTATTTTAGTGTAATCCAAGCCAAATCTCCTGGCTATGTTCTGCGCAGCTTCTTATCTCAATTGAACAACAGTAAATTCTACTACCTTCCTTTCCTTAATGAGACTAAGTACAACCCACCTGTACTACTAAATCAACAAAGTCCCGATATCTACAACTACAACCACTAAGTCTACTTCTTATTATATTTATTTGTTTATTTATTACTTATTTATTTATTACTGAGCCTACTCACGGCTCACAACCAACCTACCTTCGGCTGGTTGGAACTTGCGTTCCCTGTCACCAATGCCACTCTACCACCCACCACCCACGTTGTCGCCTCCTGCGGCCGTACTCAAGTCCTTGTGGGGAACCGAGTGCCCTGGTTCCCCTCCCTACTTGCAAACCAACCGAGTTCCAAACACAGCCTACAGGTTTGCGGCAGACTACACTCCCCCCCTCTCTCCCAACTACGTTACCCAGGGAGAGAGGACCAGACACTTTGTCCTGTGAACCCCTGCCAACTGATGTCTGTCTGCCCAGGTGTCCAAAAACCACTGCAGTCCCTTTCCCTGCTTTTTCTCTCTTCCTCCAGTCAACATTGATTGTTTGCCTCAAGCCCTGTCTTGCCGCCTTTTTAACCTCCAGATCTGAAAACGGCCTTTTTTTTAATCTTGCCCTGTTTCTGTCTTTCCATATAATTTCACACAGCAATCCTCTCACCACCTGGGCAATGTAAGCCCAGCCATGGTTCCTGTGAGTGCCTTCCGGGAGGAAGCCAAACAACACCCACCGTGACTTCTCCTCCCAGTCGACCGTTGGGTCGCCAAAACGTTGCCAATGGTACTTCCACCATTTCCAAATTCTTCGTGAGGCAGGGCATTCCCACCAAAGATGCCTTGTAGATTCAAAAAGCCAACTGCAGCGGGAGCACTTGAGTTCAACCCGCATCCCTCTGCTTGTAAGCCAGACCGCTGAAGGCGTCACCATTAGGGATATCTGCCACAGAATTGAGACTTGTTTGTCATTTGGGAAAAAGGACAGCATTTTCACAGGTCATGGAAGGAAGACTTCGCTTTCGATAAGTCTTCAGAAAAAACAGCCTGCCATCTGCTAATGGCCACTTCTGCGGGGGACCTTGTGTTGCCCTTCTTCCATCTCAGGCTGTAGCCTTTCGCCACCGAGTACTCCGCCAGTCGTAGTTGAGGACACCTTGCTTCGCTCGTTGTCCAGCTCCATGCCGCCGGATCAATTCGCGGTTTCTTTAGCGGGACATGGCCCACCCACACCCACTTAGCCCTTGCTCTCTGTGAGCTTCTATGGTCTAACACCCTTGCTTGTGGGGGGTTGTCCCAGGTTCTGATGACCGATTCACTGTTGCAGGATAGTTCATTTGAGTGTTTCTGGCACCGCCATTTCTGAACTCTCCTGAAGCCACTAGGTAAGACTTCTAACAGCTTCCACACCTCTCCCGATTCTTCACTTTCTGCACAGTACCAGGTCCCTTCACAAGTGGTTGTCACATAGATGAATATTCACTGATGAACATTCTGAAAGTGGAAAAAATTAAGTGGTTTTTCGGGTTTGAATTCATGTTTGTACATGACGAATCATAGCTTGCAATTGTGAAAGCTTGGGGTGCAAGATGTTAATGGTGAATTCTACCTCCAAGCTCGAGTAATTGACAAAGAGGCGGACATTTGGGGTTGCTAGGCGTGGATGCGGGTGGAAGTGGGAACAGACGAATGGCTCCTAATGACAGTATATGCACCCACAGATTCGAGGGAAAGAGAGAGTTTTTTCAGAAACCCGATTTCCAATATCCCGAAAGTAGATAATGTGATACTAGCGGGAGATTGGAACAGGTCCTTGGATGCTGCCCTCCGCCCGGATTTGGTGACTGTTAGTAACAACACAGTTTCTGTTCCACTCATGCACCCAGGACTTCAGACCCCGTCTCTTGCATCTACTGTTCGTGTTCCCCAACCCTCTGATGTTCCAAGAGGCCAACTTAAGTCTGTCCATTGTTTGCGTCTGTTCCCGCTAGTTCTTGGATACGGGTCTGAGTCTACTGTTGGCCAGCGTGCTGTTGGATCACTCTGTCTGCCCCTGTTGCTCTAGAGTCCCTGGACTTGCGAGAGGATTTGGACCTGTCACGCGTACTGCCACGAGAAGAGTTCGAAGCGGCTGTGAGTGCTTTTGCCAGGAAAGGGGAAAGTAAACTTCCTTCCGCCTGCAATTTCTCGTTGACATTCCTCAAGACGAGAGCTGAGATGTCAGGTAAGATCTTGATGAGCTCCGGTTCCTCCATGTGCTGATCTGACAACTTGGACATGTGTACCCATCTCATGCCCACTTGCGTCAGAGAGTTCGCCAGCTCCGGAGGAACTCGGCCGTCTAATAACGAAAAGTAGAGCTTATAAAAACGATCGCCCGATTCCACTATTAAATTCACCATCGAAGACCGCGGGATCAACCGGATGGGTACGTGCTGGCCATACAGAGACTTTGTGAATTCGACGATTTCCAATGGCGTAGGGGAGTGGTCCACATCTACCGACAACAACACTGGTGAGCCGTCTGGTCGCGCCAAGGCCAGAAAATATACACCGTCATTCGCCATTGTACAAAGGATGGGTACCAATCTTCTCTGCACCTTCTCTGCTTGACTCCTGCGTAATGTATATGCTCTCCATCACGTCTCCGATCCCCAACCTGATTCAGATTAGCATCTCCGATGATCTCTTCGTTTTCTGGTGACTTGGTGGCAGCCGAACTCAACATAGAGGATCTTTCCCCGATGATTAGGGCATACGAAGACGGGTGGTTCGTGAGAAGACTATTTGGCTCAGATGCAGAGCGAGGGAGGGTGAAGTTTGAAGGAGCGAATATTTTCTCCGTTCCGACTAATACGTCAGAATGGGGAAATAACCTACCCTACTCTACTCTACAGGACTACCCATGCAACCAGCGCCAAACGCCTCTGTTGTAGAAGCGGGCATGGCCGACTCCCACTCTCCTTCTTGACGAGGGAGGAGGTGGCTGGGCAGCGCCGTCAACAGCGACGACGACAGTCCGAGCCGGAGCGCTACGCTACCCGCCCGTTTCGGCCGCTCCTCCAGGTCCCCAACCCTCTCAGGTCGTTTTTTTGAAGTGAGTAAATTAAATATGAAAGTACTGTTAATTAAAAAAATAATTAAAAAAAAATCCGGGTCGGAGAAAGAGACATTTGGAAGTTACTGTACTGGTGGTTTAATTTACGGATGATGTTGAAAAAAAAAAAAAAAACCAATACGGATGTAACTTTTTGGTTAGTTACTGCAAGTGCACCACAGTGACTGCAGCTTTGCACGCTCTGCCGAGTCCTGGGGCGAGGTCCCACTAGCAAAGTGGATTGGACTGAACGCCTGAATCTGGACGTGTTTGTGGAAAGGTGCATAAAATCGAGATTGAACTGCTCTAAATTTCTGAACGTCTCCTTCAAACACATCCAGATTCAAGTGCTTAATCCAATCCTCATTGCTAATGGGACCTCACCCCTGGGAATTACTTCTGCTCTGCTCACGCCGTCACCGTGACGGTGATAGTTGAAAAGTAAAAATTAAAGGACTTCTAAGGAGGGTGTGACTACCTTTAAATATTGGGGTCAATGCCACTCGATGGGGAAGAAAAGACAAAATTGTAAGCGCTCCAAACTTTAGGCTTTATCAAATTTAAATTTTAAATACAATTAAAATTTGTAGGATGGAAGGGTGAATGTGTACCCCGTCAATTCCTTTGCAATGAGCCATGATCCCTAGTCGATCTGAAATGGTATTTTTTTATTAACAGAAAGAGAGAGGGAAAAAAAAAATAATAATAATAATAATTAAAAAAGACAAAAAAGGGGAAAAAAAAAAGAAAGGGGTTGAATAAAGAGAGAGAGAGAGGGTAACAGAGCCCACCCGATCGTGGTGATTTATCATGGGATTCATCATTCATGCCCCAAAATCCTGGGGCTTGAAATTTCTCCAAAGAGTCCAGAGTTCGCATAGCAAACCCCATCAAATACAACCCCATTACTATCACACCAAATTGTATTTTCATTTCCCCACTTATTGCCTGTAGACTTTGCTTCAAAAGGGGTTGAGGAGGGAGGGAGGGGGGGGGGGGGGGGGGGGGGGCACGGACAAGCTCAAAACGTCATCATCCAGAACTGAGCCCCTTATTGTTTTCTGATGCATGATGGATGCATTTGGTCTCACTATTTCGTTTCCTGTCTTCAATTCAATTCAATTCTTCTTCTTCTTCTTCTTCTTCTTCTTCTTGGCCTCTCTTCTTCTTCTTCTTCTTCTTCTTCTTCTTCTTGGCCTCTCTTCTTCTTCTTCTTCTTCTTCTTCTTCTTGGCAACACTTTCTAAACTTCTCCTTCTTTTTCTTCGTCCATCATCATCATCATCATCGTCATCATCATCATCATCCTTAAAGAGGGGCTCACCAGTCTTTGGACGGCAGCAGCAGACGCAAGAATGCAGCTAGGATGATCATGATGGCAGAGTTCAGCTCCCACAGGTGCAGGGGTACTTGAAGACACAGTGTTACACTGTGTGGTTGATGTTAGCACTTCCAGTCTGTTCCGCAGCTCCAAGGGGGAATCCAGTCTGAGAACTTGGACATCGCCTGCAAATCATCATCAAATAATAGATCACCAAAAAGATTAGTGACCAGACCAGACCAGACCAGGCCAGAGTCACAAGACCAGAGTCAGCTGAACAGACCAGTACAGTGCAATAAGGGACCTGCTACAACCTACCTTCTTTACCCGAAAAAAAACGGACGGTCATTATAATAGCTGTATTTAGACTGAAAGATACTCCAAATACAGCTATAATGACCGGCGTACGTTGTATACCGGGAAGAAGGTAGCCTGCCCTCCTAGTACCGACTTATGCCCAGTCTAGGCCAGACCAGACCACACCAGACCAGACCAGACCACAGTGCGCAATTAATAACCAGGCAATTTGAAATGTTATGCCCAGACCAGACCAGACCAGACTAGACTGGCAAATTACATGGCCACAGTTCTCAGGCAGCGCCAAGCACGGATTCTTAGTCAAGGCTGCGCAAGATCTATGTGAAGTACACTTTGAGCCTGTTCCAGGAGGAGGAGGAGGAGGAACGGGACGAGGGAGAAGAAGAAGAGAGAACAGAGAAGAAGAAGACAAGAAAAAGAGGAGAAGGAGAGGGAGACGGGAAAGAGAGGAGGAAGGAGGGGATGAAGGAGGAGCAAGCGAAAGAGGAGGGGGAGGGGGAGGGGGAGCAGGAGGAAGAAGGAGAAGGGGAAGAGAAAGGACGAGGAAGAAGAAGGGAGGGAGGGAACGAGGAGGAAGGGTGATTGAAAGAGAAGGCATGCGACACTGTCTGTACCTGACTCTTAGGGGGCATACCCTATTTACGCAGATCTAAGCTCAAGCTACCCAACCAAAAAAAAAAAAAAAAAAAAAAGCTAACCATGAGCGAGAAGACCTGTTTCCCATCGCTGCTCTGCTCGATGGCCCCCCCCCTCCCCCTCCCCCCCCCAAGAAAAGAGATGCACACAATACCGTTGACTCTTGACCGAAAAGTCAACCCCCCCCCCTCTCCCCCTCTGAGGAGTTCTACCAATTGTCGGCACTGTTGTCTTACCTTTTTTTTCCAACTACCAATTTTCATCACCCTTTTTTTTTTTTTTCTCTCAATTTTGCTTTTTTGGGGAAGGAAAGAGGAGAGGGGGCATGCCATTGGATTTTGTGACGTACGTGTGATAAGTCCATGTGTGTCTCTGTGCTCTGGTTTGTGATTCGCTTGTGCGTGTCACGGATGACGGGAAAAAAAAACAAAAAACAAAAAAAAACAATATATTGCTTCTGTTGCTTCTGAGGGGAGGGGAGAGGGGCATGCTTTTCGTTATATTGTCTTTCTTTTTTTTTTYTTTTTTTTTTTTCTTTTTTCTTCTTTTTTTGCTTTCAGTGATGGAAGAAACGAGGCTGTATAGCCATCCCCTTAGTTCTTTTCGTATAGCATGACCTTCTCAGAATTTTTGTTGGGGTACCACGAAATAGAAAAGAACGAATATTTGCGGAACGAAAACTCTCCGAAAATAATAACAAGAATTTTGTTGGGGTACCACGAAATAGAAAAGAACGAATTTTTGTTGGTATTGTACTCCGAGTTTTGTTATTTTCTGCCTTAAAGTTCTTTTTCTGCCTTCTTTTTCTTCTTCTTCTTCTTTTTTCTCCCTTTTTTTTTAAGTCTGACCAATGGATCAGATAATTCAGATGGTCGGTTTTAGACGACCACTCGATCAGATCCTTTTCTTTTTTTTTTTTTGTGGGTTGGGTAGGGGGTTGGGGGGGGAGGTCATTTTCCTTTTCTTTCCATGTCATTGGGCGTTTTCCGCTTTTCTTTTTTTTCGGCGTTCTCGTTTTTTAGACGAGTGCCATGTACACTTCAATTACATCGCTCCAAGACCATTTTAAAATTTGAGAATATGATCATGGTTGACTCAAATTTATAATAATTGAATTGAGGTGAATTCCTCATCAAAATATATTTAAATTTAAAAATAATAATAATAATATAAAATAATAATAATAATAATAATAATAATAATAATAATAAAGATAATAAAATCGTTAGGCCTTCAAAAAGGCTTCAAACCTTGATTTCGTTGGTGTTTAAAACTCCAAGTACAAAAAAAAACAAAAACAAAAAAAAACTCCAAGGAATCGACCCGATTCGACCGTAAGAAAATTTCCCAGTGAACGAGTGTGAGAACCACAGTGTAAGAAGCAGTGGCGGAGCCGATCCAAACTTTAAGTTACCCAAACTTTGCAAACAAACCCTTATGCAGACAGCATCATCTACGAGATTTGCAACCCCTTTCGCTTTGCACGTGTTCGTGGTCGCGCTTCACGCCTCCAAGTACCGTCTTATCTGTGTGTCTATGCCTCTGTGCCTACACTGTGTATCTGGTCTGCTTTACGGAAAACCTCTTCTTTAGACAGGCACAGAGGCATAGACACACAGAGAAGGTTTGCCTGAACATGTGTGTGTCTGTGTGCGGGTGATTACTTAAGTCCGTCTGTCTATGTCTGTCTCTGTGTACGTGCATGTACGTGTGCATGTGTGTGTGCGAATGTGTGTGTGTGTGTGTGTGTGTGTGTGTGTGTGTGTGTGTGTGTGTGTGTGTGTGTGTGTGTAGGTGTGTGTGTGTGTGTGTGTGTGGGTGGGTGGGTGGGTGTGATGATGTGTGTGTTGTCCTATTCGCTATACACTCAAAAAAAGCATGACTGTGCCGAACAGACTGTTTCGTCGGGACTTTCACCGACTCATCAGGAGGAAGTTGAACCTGGACAGACAGTCTGTCCAGGATGCATTTGACAGACTGATGGATAAGGACTCACCACATCGCCCAGAGTTAGCGATACCCATCCTTGAGAGAGAACAGTGGTCGACTTTACTCACACCAACCTTGTCACACTGTGTTTGTGTGTGTGTGTGTGTGTGTGTGTGTGTGTGTGTGTGTGTGTGTGTGTGAGAGAGAGAGAGAGAGAGAGAGAGAGAGAAGGGGGCGAGGGAAACTCTTTTTTTTTTTTTTTTTTTTTTTTTTTTTCTTGCGAAGATAAGAAGCATGCAATGCCAGGAATACCTGATGGCTTACGCTTTTTCCTGAGGGTCGATGTGATCAGTGGATCAACGGTCGCCGGCCTCGGTCGGGGACTCGGTGTTATCGAACTTCCGGTCTTGCGTTCGACGACGACCACCACCTCTTTTCGCGTGCGCTTTTTCGGAATCGACCAAGACGACGAATCTGGACATGACGATGTATGCAGCCCTGACGATGGCGATAGCGATGGCGATGGCGATGGCAATGGGCACTCGGCAATCATCTGCGTCTTCGTCTTCGTCTTCGTCGTGCTCTTCGCCTTCTTCTTCTTGCTGTCCGGATCCCTCCCGATCCCGTTTGTCAAAGTCGTCGACATTATGGTGGTGGTTTTTCCTTCTGTCCTTTTCGGCAAATTGCCAATTACACTTTTGGCATTGTCGGGCTTCGAGCTGAGCTCCGGTCGCACTACTAGGCCTCGTCGAATTTTCATTGACATCTCCGTTAATTGGCGTAACGGTTAACACGAAGAGAGAGCGCTCTTACTCCTGGCAACGACTTTTTTTTTTTTGCTTCGCAGAGGGACGATTTTCTTTTTTTTTTAACCCTTCACAGAGTGACGATTTGTTATTTTTGTTTGGCGGATAAGAGTATTCGACGAAAATACTATTTTAGTATTTTGTTCTTATCCCCCCAGAACATGAAGAAATTCCCGCCAAAAAAAAGAGTGAAGTAGTTCCCGCCAAAAAAAAAGAGCGCAGCTAAAGATAGGATAGCGTCCTTTAATCATGCAAACCAACGATGTCCTTTAGATTTGCAAATCAAAGATATTATTCTTATCCACTCCTTATCCGTTAATCTGATTAGGAGAGGGGCTGTTCTCCTCCATCTTTTGTCATATCTTATCCACTTCTTATCCACATTAAATATTTGCGCAATAACATTCTTCTCCGCTGCTTCTCCGCTCCTCCGCTGCTTCTCCGCTGCTTCTCCTCTCCCTATCCGCTCCTTATCGGCTCCTTAGCACCTTTCCGCAATAACACTCTTCTCCGCTGCTTCTCCGCTCCTTATACTAAGCTCCTTATCCGCTCCTTATAGTACGCTCCTTCTCCGCTGCTTCTCCGCTGCTTCTCCGCTGCTTATAGGAAGCTCCTTATCCGCTCCTTAGCACATAATTTGTCCGCAATAGCATTCTTCTTCGCTCCTTCTCCGGTCCTTGTTCGTTAATCCGCTCTTTATCCGCTCACCTTAAACCGTTCCTCTCCCGTGCAAATAAGCTTAGAGAGTTGCCACCTGCCGGTTTGAAAACGACGATATCTGCTGTGAGCCTGCGATTAAACACACACACACACACACACGCACACACAAAAAAAAAAACAAAAAAAATAACACACACAGAGGGAAAGAGAAATGGCGAGAGTTTGCAGCACGCGCAGATGACGCCAAGACGTCTCTCTCTCTCTCTCTCTCTCTCACACACACACACACACACGCACACACACAGAGATAACAGTCATTTCGTTGAAGTTGAGGGGGGTCCTTGGTAATACGCGAAAGCAAACGTGGCTTTTTTTTTTTTTTTTCCAGCGGCGAGGTCCCACTAGCAACGGGATAGGATAGAAACGAGTTTGTGGGGCAGTTGAGTGACCCAAATCCTGCCGTGCACTAATCGTGATCCCACCGTCAGTATTTTACATGTATTACCCGAAAAAGTAAGGAGATCTTCGTTCCCCTCCTCGTCTCCTTAACACTGGGCATGCCCGTGCAAAGAGAGCTTCCCGCCAGAATCTTTTCAATCGGTTGGGGGTGTGGCGAACCCCAAACGAGGTTGGGATCGGCCTTAGCCCACTGGATAGAAGATTTTCAGCATTTTACTTGCTGTTGTGCAATTATCTAATTGGGTGGAGCCCTCCTTCAATCACGGAGTATATGGAGGGTGTCAGGATCACTGCTGTCAGGAGTCGAGTTTAGGGTCTGATCCCACCACTACACTACAGCCCAGTTACAGTGTAGTTTTCGGATCCCACCACTTCCCGACTTCGTAGCGGCCGCGGAAATATTTTGCCATACTTTCGTTTGGGTGTGTCGCGGCAGCACAAAGGGTGTGTCCGCGAAGGGTGCAAGCGTAGTTACTACAATTTTTCTGTAGACCGTGAGGGCATCTCTGCAGCGAAAAAGAGGGAGCAATTTTTTTTTTCTTTGCAGCATCAGGAATGTCCGTGGACCACACTGTTGTGTGGCATTTCGGTTGGCGAAAACGTCCGCCCTCTGCAACAGCCCCCAAATAACTGCCACGGGTCCAGGACAATCACCGAAGAAGTCGCCCTCGTGGGATCCAGTTTCTCTTTTTCGTCCCGCCACGGCCGCTGACATCTTTGTAGTGCTTTTTGGCGACTACAGTGGTAGTGTAGTGGTGGGATCAGACCCTTAGACCCTTATTCCAGAAAATGTGGCGGTTACTTTGTTCACTGTTTTTGCAACCACCACCATCAGATCATTTGTGATATGATGGCTGGGAAGCACGCTGCTGTGATTTCCGGTGGGAGGTCTCTGTTTCTTTTTTTTTTTTTTGGCCTTTTTCCTGTTTTCTCAGCCCAGAAATTCGTAATGAAACTTGTCTGGCCGCTGCCACTCAGTGTCACACTGATCGGCCACACTCCTATCCGACTGCTAATGGGACCTCGCCCCAGATTTACGCTTCGGCAGTTTGGTTTTCAACCACGTGCGACGAGAGGTGACATCCGGCGACCATTGATCCTTTTGTGTATCTTCAGCGCAGGGCGATAAGGACCGATATCGTGGAGGTATCTGTCCGCCGGCCAATAGAAGAGTTTTTTTAACTTTTTTTTTTTTTTTTTTTTTTTTGGAAAGCGTTAATCATTTTATTAAAAAGCAATTTGGGACGAGGCCGGGGACCTCACAATTCAACCCGGTGTTATCCTGGCAGCCTCAGCAAGATTAGCTTACAAGTCGAGCTCGGCCGCCCAAACTTGACTGTTCTATTTTCCTCATGTACTTACTAGAAACCGGGTCCAGCGTCCCTTCTTTGATCACTTCCCAAAAAAATAACCTTTTACGCTCAGAAAAAAAAAGATGAGCTATCCTCTGAACAGAAACTAGGTCATCATCTTGCAGAACAAATTGTTGTCCCCTGAAGCAACCCTGAGAACACAGATAGAACCTGAAAGTCGATTTCTCATCCAGTCTGTCTGCACCTCAAGTTACTGCTCTAAGAGATTTTGCCTTTCAAACCCAAACCGAAGTCCTGATCTGACTAAGTGGAAACCTCAGGTCTACCTCGTCCTGGAACAAAGTCGGTAAACTGTATAGTTGTGATATCTGTTACATCGCTAGCTGACGTGGTCTAAGAGTCGGCCACCATTAGCAGCTGATGCTGAATGCAGCCAGTCCGAAAGAACCAGGGAGCCTTCTGGAGAGATTGTCTCGAAGGCTTGCTTTTTCGCCCAAGTGTTCCTAAACCAAGTGATCTTCCTTCCATTTTTACTTTTTGTTAGTAGCCAATCTGCCTGGATAGCCAGTCGAATCTGTTCCTTTGCCCAAATAACTTGCTGGCACGTGGTTAATACTTCGTTCTTGAACACCCGCGCGTTCCTGCTTCTCCAAATGCTGCTCATGACTGCGCCTCTGCAGACGAGGGCTACATAGCCCCAGCCGACCTTCAGACTGCTGTCTTTTGCAGTGGAGCCATACAAGATCCAATCGTCGTTCCACTCCCATTCTTTGCCAACCATCTGATACCATTGTACTTTCCACCACCTCCAGACCTCGTCTGATAGAGGACAGTGGACCCAGATGTGGGTTGAAGATTCCCAGCCCCACTCGCATCTTTTGCATCTTGTGTCCAGATCCATACCTTTAGAGTCGAGCCAGACTGCTGCTGCCGTCACCTGGAGCAATTGTAGCCATAAGATCCCTGCTTGTTTCTGCGACGGTACTTTCTTCAAAGCTTGCCAAAGCTTCGAAAGTTTGGGCTTTGCGTCCTGGCCCCCGTGTGGTACTCGAATCGCTCTGTAGCCAATTGAAGCGGTTGTTTCTTCGACTTCTGTCGTTGTATGAGGATCCCGACTTTCGTCTTATAACTTATTAGTGGAATGTCAGCCGTATCCTTTGACGATTTCCACCCAGTTAGCAGAGGCTCTACTACAAAGTCATCTGCACTTTTGTCCAGTAATGTGAGCGAGGCTGTGCTAACTGAGGCAGATCCAATCTTATTATTTTGCAATACTCTTGCCTCGCTAAGTCCCACAGTGGTATGAACTACCCTTTCTCCTGCTGACTGGAGGTTGGCCGAACTCGAACCCGGACTCGAGCCTGTAGTCTTTAACGTCCAGACTTCCGACTTCATCCTTCCCCCCAGCTCCGGACCTAGCACTCTCCCAACCATGTCACCCCTTGGAGAGGTGAACAACCATGTTCCACTGGCGTGCTCCGAGAACTCGTTTAGCAGCAGTTTCAATCTCTGTGGAATCGATGCTAACAAATCAGCATAGTTTTTGGCAACATTTCTTAATCTTGGAAGGCGCAGTTTCAGTTCAGGTGGAGAAAGCCATTCAGCTAGGTCAGGGTACCATATATCCTTTATCTGCATAACCCCTTTTTCCGCCCACCGCTTACCAAAATTTCCCTCCCCCGAGCTAGCTTCGAACACCCAGCTTTCTGCGTCTTTGATATAGTTGTTCTCGAACAGAAACTGATTTGCTACTTCCCCTCTGGTGGTTGGCTCCCTCAAAGACGTGGGAAACAACTGTTTCCAAGCCAAGATAATGGCAGACCAGACTCTGGACCTGGGCGTTTTCCTAGCAAAGGAGGGAATCATCGGACACCTCCAGGTGTCCCCGTAAACTGTCAGATTTCACTCCTTACCGAATATATATTCTGCAAATTTAACCCAGAACCTATCTTTTCTGTCAAACAAGGCCTGTAAGATCCACTTACACAATAGAGCCAAGTTTTGCTGATGAGGGTCTAAAATTCCCAGACCACCTTCTGCTCTGGCCTGTGTTATCACTTCCCAGGCTACCTTGGACATAAAGCCCTGAAGTTCCCCTGCCTTGGGTTTCCATAGATACCTTGCCGCCACTCTTTTGATCTTTAAGTATGCTGCCTCCCCCAAGTAGTGGATGGTTAACGGAAACCACAATAGTGAGAAAGTTGTCGAAGAAAGGACCGGAGCTCTGCCAAACAGAGAAAGCTTGTGCGTTCGAAGCCAGTTGGCCACTCTTGCAGTTATCGTGTGAGTCTGCACAATTTGACAGAGACACTTGCAACCCCAAAAACCGCTCAAAGTTCTCCGCAGGGATACGCCTGAGGCCCCAATCAACACATAATTCAAAGGGTTGGGGTAGCAAAAAAACTGATTTGTCCCAGTTGATAGACGCTTCAGAAAGTTCACAATAAGAATCTAGAACTCCCCTAAGTGCGACTAACGATCCTACTGAGTTTTCACAAGCTACTGTGAGATCGTCCGCCCCCTTTCCAATGAAAGTGCGAGTCGATACGTAGACCAGTGATGTTAGGATTATGTCTTATGTTATCCAGCAGAGTTTCCAATTGAAGGACAAAGAGCAGCGGGGCTAAAGGGCAACCCTGTCGAAGAGAGCGAGTTAAGAAGAATTCGTCCGAGAGTTTACCATTTACGATTACTACGGACAATGCTTGTGAGTACATTGTCTTTACTATCTCTTCTCTATCTCTATACTCCTAAAGCAAGCAAAGGGCCCAGCGTGACGCCCCCTGTATCGGACCCAACAGGTGCGGTGCTCCGCTATTGACAGAGATGGAGATGGAGGAAGAAGGGGGGGAGCGAGATGGCACAACGCAGCTCCCCACGCAAGACTCCAACGCACGTACTCCAAAATGTGCTAGTGAAGAATGAACGGGAAAACAGACAATGGCTGGGGTATACCCCAGCGGACTGACGGGACTGGACTGGACTGGCTGGTACCGACAGAGGTACCAGCTTGGACTGGCCTACCCCGAATAYAACACAGGCCTGTGAGAACAGGCCAAGGGGCTGGTCTCACAGGCCAACCCGAGGTCCGCTACACGATCCTCGGCCTGTGATGGATCGCCTAGATACAAACATGCTTCCGCCAAGAAGCGGAACTCTACCAAAGAAAAGAAAACCTGAGTAGTCTAGGATGCGGAGCAAGCTCCATGCTGAGGCCATGCGATGCAACCTAGGATATAAAATGGCACAAAACAACAATGTCACAGCTAACAGCCTAAGTGAACGCAAAAGCAACTAACTAACTTACATGTCATAGGAAAGCAAAAACAACTAACTAGCATACATGTCCTAGGAAAGCAGAAAGTAGTGACAACTAGATCCTAGAATGTTGGAGGCACTAGCCTCAGTCTGGTCACAACTGACTAGTGTATAAGTCCTAAGAACAGCAAAAGCAGAACAACTAAATCCTAGAGATGTCAGAGGCAGTAGCCTCAGTCTGCGAGCAACAAAGCAACAACAAGTCTATCATATGTCACATGAGAAGTGTGTCGCAAACCAAAGGGTGGGATGGTCTCTGAGGGTGGCGAATGCAGCCTAGGGGTCGAAAACTCCTAAGGGCATCCACACATAGATAACACGGAGACACATGTCATCAGGCTCAATGAGGGTAGGGAACTGAGAGCGAACAGAACCAATGACCCTAGGAGCTGTCTCTTATACACATCTAGATGTGTATAAGAGAAAACTCCTAAGGGCATCCACACATAGATAACACGGAGACACATGTCATCAGGCTCAATGAGGGTAGGGAACTGAGAGCGAACAGAACCAATGACCCTAACAGATAGACCATCAAGGCGGGTAATGCTCGACTAAGGGGTGACCGCTATGGAGGGTCGACCATGCAAAGGAACAGGGGAACCTGGTATACTGGGCGCACCTAGATGAAGCATGCGGGGCTGCCTAACTAGGGCGTGAGGGCCGGCGAAGGGTACAAAGATGATGGGTGAGGGAATCATGCAAATGACTCCTAAAGTGAGGGAAGTCGGAGCTAGATCCRTAAGATGGGAAGCCAGGGCAACGCTACRRTCCCGATGCCTATGCGTATACCAAGGGAGAGCCCAACTCAGAGGMACCCGGCTAAAGGGAGACCATCATGCGACACAAGCAGGGTACTGTACAGGGTAGAGTGGTAAGAGAATGGCGACGTCTGAAGTAGGCAGAGCTGATCGTGGTGAAGTCCATGAAGCTGCCGATGACGTCCACGATGAGAAGTCCGGAATGTCGTCGAGGAAGAGCCGCAGCGTCGACGAGCAAAAGTAGCAAAACTGATGTGGATGGAGTACTGAGAAGTCGAAGACGTGGGAAGGTAAGTCATAGTCAATCGTCGTATCGAGCAGGACGGCGACGAGTGCGTTGTGGACGCTCAGAAGCATCCGGCTGCTGCTGAAGGTCTGCCTCAGATGGAGTAGGCTCGACTTCAGCGATCTCCTCAGCCGGAGGAGAAGGAGGAAGGTCAGTGGGCTGAGGAGGAGCAGTGAACCCAGCACGACGAGCATGATCATAGGCACGCACCAACATGCGAGCATGCTGCAAGTGCTCGAGGGGCTCCCAGGTAGCCTCTTCATCAGGGTAACCCTTCCAACATACGAGATACTCGACGTGGGGAGGGTTGTCGTCGGTGACTCGGCGACCAATGATGTCTGAAACGAGGAACTCCTCGTGACCGTCCACCATGATGGGTGGAGGGCGCTCGTATGGTCGTCCAGCGAAACGCTCAGACGGTTTGCGATAAGGACGCAGTAACGAGACGTGGTAGACATCATGCACACGAGCCTGGCGTAGGTAGTCGGGTAGCTTCACACGAAAGCTGACCGGGCTAGATCCCGTATCAGAACCGACGGCCTGGAGGATGCGGCATGGGTCAAAGAAGCGACGCCGAAACTTGCGAAGCGTGTCCGCTTCGAGCTGTAAGTGGTGGGCGTCGATAAGCACATCATCACCGACTTTGAATGGGTGATCCATTCTCGATCGGTTCGTACGTGCTGCCATGCGAGTCTGGGAAGCGCATATGTGCTCCTGTGTGGTCTTCATAATCGACGTCATGTGTGCAACCCAATCATCCAGCGCGGGACAATTCGTGTCAGGGTGCATCTGGGACGGTCGAAGGAAGTCCGCGAGAACACGAGGGTGATAGCCGAGGTCGCAATAGTAAGGCGACATCCCCGTGGCTGGCGAGACGGCGTGGTTGTAGGCTATCTCCGCGTGGGCAAAATGAAGATCCCACTGCTGGTCGTCACGAACAATCTTTCGAAGAATATCTCCGAGAGTCCTGTTCGTGATCTCGGTCTGACCATCAGTCTGAGGATGGTAAGACGAGGAGAAGCGGAGCTGAGTGCCGTATACCTTGTGGAGCCGTCGCCAGAATCGGCTGGTAAAGCGCGGGTCACGGTCAAATATGATGCTCAGAGGTAAGCCGTGGTCACGCACGACTCGGTCGAACACGATATCGGCGACCTCACGTGCACTGATGACATAGCGGCACGGAACAAAGCGTGCACGCTTCGTGAAGCGGTCGACGACGACCAGGATAGCATCATGACCGCGAGGGGTCGGAGGACGAAGAGGACCGATAAAGTCCATCGAGATGGACTGCTAACGACCCTCAGGGATAGGAAGAGGCTGGAGCAAACCATAAGGCAAGTGATTCGCACTGTTCACCTCCTGACAGGTCGGACACTCTGCGACGTAGTCCTTCACAAAGTCCTTGCACTTCGGCCAGACGTACAGGCGACTCACACGAGCCAACGTCTTGTGGAATCCCATATGACCGGCAGCTGCCTGGTCATGGAACTCTGCTACTGCTCGGACACGTAGCTGTCCAGTGGAGGGCACGCAAATACGGGGCTCTCTGGTGCCCTGTGAACCGTGCCAGTACACAAGACCGTTGTCCCCGAGAGAGTAGTTCGGGACGGTCTTGCCACTCCGAAGGGTCGCGTGGATGTCGCGATAGTCGGGGCAGTGGCGGTACTGAGTGCGAAACTCGTCGATCACCGAGTGGTGGACGGTGGTGACCGAGATGGAAGAAAGTTGGATGTGCTCCTAGTCATGGTCAGGGCGCCGAGATAAGGCATCTGCGACCCGATTAGTTTCACTCTTGATGTGCTCAGTGGTGAAACTAAAATCGGATAGGTCGCGCCACCAGCGAGCCTGTCGAGGAGTGAGCTTCGGTTTTGTCAGAAAAGCCTGGAGAACATAGTTGTCTGTACGCACCGTGAACGGTGCCCCATGCAGGTAGTGACGCCAGTGCCGAGCGGCATAAACTACTGCGAGAACCTCACGTTCATCAGCGGTGTAGTTTATCTCGGCGGGCAGGAGCTGACGGGAGTAGAAGGCTATCGGACAATCACCGGAGCGAGACTCGACAGTGCCGTTCTCGGCGATGGTAGGAGAATAGTCAATAGAAGGCTCGTCAGTAGCTGGACGAGTAGGCGTCAGTCGAGAAGC